TTCCAAGACATTGCTTATCTCACAATATAGGCCTATATTGCTTTATCTATTGACATTTTGCCAAAGAAGTTACTCCGAATTTTCTGGAAATTACGAACATAAACCTAGGACCTTTTACCACGAAGTGATATATAGAAGTTAATGTCGAAAGACTGCAAACTTCTTACATGCCTGAGGATCTGTTATCTGTTATAAAATGAATGAGATTTAATGCTGCTAAGTGATCCTAGCGCCAGAGTACCTCTACAGTAAACAAATATAGTGAATTTTAAAGACTGCATTTATACTTTTGTGGTTTATGCACTATTGACGAAGTAGATTTAATTCAATCCAATACGTTTAAATGAAATGCAGGGGAAATGCGTATAATTTAACACTTCGGACAAGGAAGTCATGTGGTGTACACATCAGATTGTTTTCTTAAATGATAACTACTCATTGTCTCCATCATATTGAGAAGAGCTGTACGAGTACTTTTTGGAGTTGCAGATATGTAAACTATTTCTTTTAGGGACATAAGTTTTATCAAGCAGTCATCGGTTCTGTGTGCATTCAATTCATTACGGACCCCAACACTCGTTAGCATATGCATATAATCTAAAAGTAGAAATGTGGTCACATTAAATATTTTTGAACGTTTTGGATAGTTTGTTTAAAGCGACACAGATAATAAATGAAGAAAACTTTTTCATCTGTGTAATTAAGCACGTATCCACACATACATATATACAATAATGCAAACTTAACAATATTCATGGCGTAGAATGTTGAAGCATACTGAAAAGCAAACCTAGCAGCCGAGGCAGTCATCTTTTTTATTTCAATTGACATTTGCGGCCATAATTCACATGCAACTCTAATTCATATTTCTGATATTTTTGCGATACGAAGAGAGCAGCGAAGTAGCGTCTTAGCGAGCAAAGAGATGGAAATAAAGTGCGTAGTTATACAATGTGCAAGCTCATTAAAAGAAAGTTTCAGTTTAAGTTCCGAATGAGCTACATCGTAAACGCTAAGCAAAATATATAATATGGATTGATCTAGAAATGACGCAGTCCAGCAGTATTTTTAGAACATAGAAATGGAATACTCAAATTAAAAATGAGGAATTGAGAGGCTATTGCTAATGTAATTTGTAATTTTGATTTGTATATTTTTTATATTACACACACACATGCACACAAACATATTGTTACGAAATGTACAAGCGCGGTAAGATGCTTCCCCGCAAAGCGGTTTTAAGGTTGCCACAAAATGGCAAGGGAAGTCAGGGTTGCAATATTTGACGAGAAATCGCCCACTTGGCGACATTTGACGAAAAAATTGGCGATATACCATGGACGGTTGGAGAACCTTCTGGAACGAATTCTTATTGGTTTAGCCCAGAATGTTCTCGAACACAAGCCGAAAGCTATATAAACCCTGTTAGTCCGCAGTCAGTTAGTGAGTATGTGCCTCGTCGAGTGCGAGATAGTGTCTCGAATTAGTCAGTCCGTACGAAATCGATCGTGTTGACAGCCGGGCAGCGAGTGCCGAGTGTGTCGTCGAGTGCACCGAAGGAGTCTCTTAGTGTATCGCGGTTAGTGCATCGTCGAGAGAGCGTGTTGAGCTCCAGGAACGACTGAACCGAAGAGTCGAGAGCCGTGCTCTGTGTGTCGTCGAGTGCATCTCGAGTTGTAGCGTGGAGAGTCTCGAGAGTACGTGGAGTTCCGAGAACGACCGAACAGAGTCGGGAGTTGTACTTTGGTGCTTTGCACTGAAGCTGTCTCCACCGTCATTGCCTGAAAGTGTGAAGGTTGTGTTGCTGATTGTTTATAGATCTACGACTACTGTAAAAGTGTTTAGAAGCTGTCCTGATTAATATTGGCCAATAAAGTGTGTTTAGATACTTCATCAAGTGTTGTCGTTATTCAGTCCAAATCCACACGAACCCCGTACGAACGTGAAGCAGAAAATAACGTACAACTGGTGTCAAAAAGAAAACGCAACAATATATATATATATATATATATATATTGAAATAAAAGAAAACTTCCCTATACCATCTCCAAGGAGCACAAATTCAATTTAAACCATGAGGAAAAATGTTAGTCAGATTTAAATTAATATTTTAAATAGTAATTTCAAATTGTTTTAAAAATTGCTAAAATCCTAATCGCAAAGTACTGAAACCAAAAATAATTTCTAAAGATTAAGATTAATTCTAAAGTCATAGGCTTTTTAATATCTTTTAATTGCTTTATTTTGAAAAAAAATATATATATCTATGTATATTATATACATATATGGTGATGATCATTTTGAAATGTCGCTAGTGCTTATAACACATGTTAAAGTACACGAAAAGGATCCGTAAGGAAGAATAAACTTCGATGTAGGAGAGTTGCAAGAAGACGCAGTCATAACAGTTTTAAATATTACTCCTTTTATTGCAGTTAATCATCCTGCTTATTCCAGAACATTTACATTTCTTATACTTTTGCAGTAAGAAGCGAGCTGCGCGGCAGCAGGCTATGAAGGCAACTAGGCTATGAAGCAAGAGCGAAGTGAATTAATTGTGTTCAGAAAGAAATATTCATTTAGAATGGGTTAGTTTTTATTTCAGTACAACTTGATAGTTAATAAAGCTTTAATCAGTCATATATACTTGTATATCATCCCTTCCATTTTGCCATCTTTCTGGTAAATTCATGACTCCGCATTCATAGAACTTCTGGTCTTTAGCAGCAAAAACCTCAACCAGGTGCTGTATGAGGTCATCATTATGACTGAAATTTTATCATTTAAGAAGTTTTCGAATTTCGTTGATCATTTAAGAAGGTTTTCATTATTACTGAAATTTTATCATTTAAGAAGTTTTTTTTTTTTTTAAACTTCGAAATAAATGATAATCCAATGGTGCGAAAATTGGGCCATGAAGAGGGATGTGACATCATTATCCAAACCAAGCTCCAGTAATTTCGTACGTGTTGCTAAGGATGTATGAAGCGTCGCATTTTTTTATCGTGGTGAAACACGATTCCTTTGTCATTTGCAAATACTAGCCTTTTCTCTTGTATTGCTTCTTTTAGTTTCATAAGTTGTTGGCGGTAAACATGAGTTGATCTTTTGGAAGCGGATCTTGGAAGTAGTTCAAAATACACTAGAGACCTTTATATTGAGTTGGAGCATAAGGCGCCAAAGGGAAGCCAAGCTTCAAGAAGAAGAAGAAGAAGACCTTTGTAATCGTGCTACCAAATTGGTAGCACGATCTTTTTCTGATGTAATTTAGCTTTCGATTTAACTTGTGCTGATTCATGATACTTGGATCATGATCATTTTAGATTTATGTTATTGTATACGATCCAATTTTCATCATGAGAGATAATTCATTTCAAAAAAAGGTAGAGAGCATTACCTTGGAAATGCGTATAACAAAATATTGATTCCGTGCGTCCTTTTGTCAAGGAAACTTCGTTCAATTCATGTGGAAGCCATATTATAGAGATTCTTAAGGAGTTGAAGACATCTTATGTGATTTTCAGTTGCTGTATCTGATAGATTTAACCTTTTAGTACTCTCTCGTATAGTTATAAAAAGATTCGTTCAATTATGGTTTTAATTTTGTCATCATCAACATCATCAGAAGGTCGATGTAAACGTTGGCCAATTTCAAGTTAAAAATCTCCAGAATGACATTATATAAACCAATTTTGATATATGCTTTCCATTAAGCAATAACCACCATAAACTTTACATATCTCATAATGAGCCTCAGCCGCTTTATTGCCTTTACGAAAATTAATTAAAATATGTCCAAAATGTTTATTTTTGCAATCTAGGTCAAAACTGACAGTAAACTGAACGGTCTAATAACAAAATGAACACAAAGCTATCTATTTGTTCAAACCGAAATTAATGTGTCATTTGCAGAAAAACTGGAGTATTTCAGCAATATTTCCCCGTACATTGTTTTCACCATGTTCATATTTTTTTAATCTACTGATAACGGTCTCTTTACCCTAAAAACCAAATGCTGTGATTTCCAACCATGTTGTTATCTTTCCTGTACTAATCCATACATTCACTTCAATTTACTATTTCTCTTAAGGTATATTTTAATTTTATAACAGTTATTTTAATTTGGAAAGTCTTTCCTAACAATTCTTGTTGCCTCTTATAAATCCCTACAAGAATGAGTTTTAGAATCGCGGTGAATTCAAGTGAGTTAGAAGAAGTATTTAAGGAATGTTCAACTGACTTCGAGACACGGCTAAGAATTCTAGTAGCCCGTGTTTGACTAGTAGCCCGTGGGCTAAGTCTCTTTTGAAGCTATTCTGCTCGGCCGCATTATTACGTGATATTACTTCTGATATTCGCTAGCTAGTTTAAATTTAGGACCAACTACGTTAGATACTTGTCTTTAGCTTCGGCTAAGTCTCCCTTTTAGTTAGTTATAATTTAGTTTCTTATTTCTTAATCTGAATTAAAGCTCGAGTAGAGGCTTTGTTGTAAGCCCGAAAAAGGGACCGACAGTTATTCTTACTTGAGTGAAATAAAGGGTACTTTAACCCTTCTAGAGTGTACATCTTTAATTATTTGAAAATTAGGCTGTAAGTCACTACACATTTCAATAGGTTCCTCAACAGTTATCTTAGACAAAAGAAATGAGGAACTCTACATGGGAATAATAGTAACGGAATAAAAATAATTAATGTAAAGGAAGATTATTATAGGCATAATTATAGCATTTTTGGCTAAAATATAATATTTCCAAATACTTGAACGCGCGCTTTTTTTTTCTAATTACAGTTAGAGGTTATATTTTAAACATTTGATATTCAAAATGAATATATTACAATACAAGACTAATGTTCTTATAAAAAAAAAGTCTTGAATTTTCACATATGATTAACTGTATTATTTCAAACTATATCATTGGTATTATAATGATAATCCAGTAACTAGCATTTTCATGCATAGAAAAAAAAAGTAAAAACAAAAGGTACTGAAATAAAATATTTCTACTGAAGTCAAATTTATTGAAACTTAACTATATGTTTGATTTAAATTTTCTAAAATCTAAAACATTTCATTATATTTTAAAAACATATCATTATGTTTTAAAACAACGTCCCTAACAATATTAAAACTTTTCTTTTACCTTCCTTAGTAAATAATAAAACACATTTGTCACATCCTGCATTTAGGTAAATATCAAAGTTCTTGGTTTATACATAGACCGGAACTTTATTTCTAGGGATGTTCGAAGTGGAAGGTTTCTCTCATCATCTCCCTTTCTTCTTTGGTTTGAGTCTTTCTAACGAATTTAGTGAAAGAGTTTTGCAGTTCCAAAATGTCATGTTCTCCACATAGGTATCGAAAGTAGTCCGATTTGCGTAAAAGTTTAAGCATCACATGGCGAGCTTCAGGACTGCAAGAATCATGAATTTCCTTCAACAACCAGTGGACGGCTAGAGATGTTTTTCTGCAAAGAAATATCATGCAAAAGTGAATAGAATATAATTAGGAAATATGGCTAACACAGTACATAATCTTTCAAAGATTTAAGTACCTATCAAAGAGCAATACCTTTGCATTTGTTGTCGATTATAGATAATTGAGATAAATTGGTCTCTGTGAAGAAAGTAAAATTCTCATACATTACACAACTAAATAACACCATTTAAAAATACGTTATTCTAATACAGACAAAAACCATGTGAAAAACATGTGAGCTGAGTATCTCTTCAAGTGAATTTAAATGTGTACATATATATGTGAGTTGTTTAGTGTTCTCAAGCTGAACGAGCTGATAATTATTGCTCACATTTTAAGTTTATGAAATTAAACTGAGTTTGCAATAAATTTAAAAGTGTTCTGCAGTGGGACAAGCAAAAGCGAAGAAGAATTTTGGGTCATTTGGCTTAGATTCATAAATCAGATGTTTTGGAATCTTATGTGAATGAAAAAAGTTAAAACTTGTGTGTTTACGTAGCTGCGGTTTGCATTAACTACTTGTATTTATAATTATCAACCTATAAAAGATAGCAAAAGATTTTTAAAATAATTAGAATAATAATTAGACTTATTATGAAACAAAATTATGCAATTTATATGCCGATAATGATTGTTTTGCTGCATGTAAAGGAGGAAGTCTGTCTTAACAGGAGCAGGTTCTCTAAATTAGCAAATCGAAGCTTAAAATTCTAACCTATGAAATTTGTTTTACTTATTTATTTTATATTTAACATAAAAGTGTGTGAGTGAAACTCTTACAAGCATTCTCGATTTTCCGCTTTTTCATGATCACTTCTTTCCTGGAATGGACTTTCAGTTGAAGCTTCTGTCTTCTCTCTATAAGCATTATATGTATCATTGGCTTCTTCCAAGTAGAAGGAAAAATAATCATCCACTACTTTCCTTATGCACTCATCGTTGGCAGCGTAATCTACACGAAAAGGTGAAATAAAAGAATGAACCCAACAAGCACTGAAATTACCAAAAACATAACAACATACAACAAGATTTTAAAATAGGATATAGCGTGTTAAAAATTATTTTATATAATTTTTCGCTCCAAAATAAGTAATTTTAAAATGCAGGCTATAAAATCCAAAGAGATAAATAAGAAGATAATTTTAAGCTGTTTATTTTGTACCAAACTGACTAAGTTATAGAATTACGAACTTTATTTTCTAGTTTTAATATTTTGCAGATACTTATGAAAATTATTATTTAGATAGGTTGGTGAATTATGCTATGAATTATATTATTTACAGACTATTATTAATAGACTAGATTAAAGATATAATAAAAACTATGCACATTGGTTTTAAATTGCTTAGTTTGGCAAGAAATGCATAAATGTAATTCAAAAATTGAATATAAAGAATCGAAAGTTAAATGTGAAGAATTTCTTTTTTGTCTAATGGCAGCTCCAATGAGAACTGGTAATTTACCAGACTTCATACATGATAACGAACGAAGTTTTAGGGTTGTTATTAATTTTTACTTCCTTGAAGGAAGTAAAGGAAGAATTGTAATTTCGAAAAATTTCAGATATCATATTTCAACGAAAATACCTATTTTGCCTACTTTCGAATTGATGTGAACAATTTATTTTTGAGTGACACATTTATACGTACGGATATACGAAGGAAATCTATTTTTTCGAAAACACAGATTGTAAAATGGAATCAGAAGGGACCTTTTCGGGGCGTCTGTACATGCATATGTACGTAGGTAGGTATCTGGCATAACTCAAAAATGATTAGCTGCAAAGTGTTGAAATTTTGTATATAGGACTGCTACAACATATAGTATTGCACCTAGACATTTTGTTGCAATCGGCTTCCCAAAATGTACACATATCCACCCAACCTTTTGCTGGCTTGGTGAGGTCTGATTTTTACTCTTAAATTTTGGTAAATTGTGCATTTTGTGATTTGAAAGTGGTTGAATTTTGTTGTTCTTACGTTCCGGTTAAGGGTTTTATACATTTACTTAATCTGCATGCAGTTGTTTTCGAATTATCAACAATTTAGAAGTGGCGCTAGGCCTAACGGGGCCGCCATTTGTTTGAGACTCTTAGTAAAATAGTGAATTAAGTTAGTTTTGTGCATCAACTTTATTGCTGTTCTACCCAGTGGGACAAGCAAAAGTTAACTTTCAGTTTTGTGAACGGAAAATGTGGACTTCCTGTCTGTTGGCCGAACTGCCTACTTTAACGTAGAATCTCTAATTTAAAATGTAAAAAAATAACTGTATTTAATCGTCTTTTTAACTTTGATTTTATTCAAAGCTAGTCTGTTGTAGAGAAATTTATAATGGGGGTCTAGAAAAGTGTCGTTGGCCACTTATTTCAATTTACACTAAACATTAAAACACCTCTCCAGGATATTTTCCCAGGTATTAAGAGGTATTCCGAAGTCTGTCTTTTTTTACTAAAACGGTTTTAATTTTAAACTCCAAAAACGCAAAAATTATCAACAAAATATTCCATACCACTCTTTAATGAAACATTTTCACAAAAAAAAAATATATATACCGAAGTGGGAGTAATATTACTCAAAATACAATCGCCATTTCGTCCATAGAAACGTCAAGAAAATGTAAATTCATAGAAGGTTCAAAAAGTTAGTAAACGACCTTTTTTGATTGTAGAAAGGATAAAAAAACTGGAAGGCAAATTAAGCACGATCAACAGCATCCAAAACGATCGACGTCAAACGATCGATGTCAAAAACTATCGACTCAAGTTTATCTTTATTTCTATCTCTACATAAAATAAAAGAAAGAGTCTGTGTGTCTTTCGTTCGTGTTGCGCGTAAGGTAGTAGAGCCAGGGATACGAAATGTGGTATATAGGTGCATCTAGAGAAGAGCCAATGCATCTCGAAGCGATTTTTTCAAAATTAGAATCAATTTTTTTTAAAATTTTATTATTTTTTTTTTTTTTGGATTTTATCGCATCATTTTGAATCGTTTCATTCTTTTAGAAATGTAGTTTTGGGAACCGTTTTTCATTCAATTGTATGCAGGCCTGCTTGCTGTTGATAATCAGCACTGTTGCCACTTGGAGAAATGAGGGCGATCACTCTGTGCAGTTTTTAAATTTAATGTTTCTCTTGGATACTGGACGTTCGTTAAGAGAAGGCAACGGGAAGTTGGTTAATTTATTGATTAGGATAATTAATATTTGTATTAGGGAATATTGCTTATTTTGCTGTTATTTTGTTATATGTAATAATTTTTTTTTATGAAGTTGTTCTGCAAAGTAAAATTCTGCGCAGTTTTTAAAATTTAACGTTCGGTATTCCCCTCAGGCATTTTTTCGGTACATATAAAAGCCAGACGAAGACTGGCAGCGTAATTCTAACGTAAGAGGAATTAAGTTAAGAAACGATTGAATACGTATTCTCGTTATTTATTCTCTATAATTTTTATAATTACTGTGGTACAATTAAGCGTACCACAGAGATTGTTTTAATTTTCTAATTGTTATTTTAATTTTGAAACCCTTTCCTTTAAATTCTTGCTTTCTACCTACAACTCCCTGCCGGAATGAGATTTCAGTATCGCGTTTTATGTAAATCAAGCAGAACCAGTATTTATGGGGGAAGTTCATTCTCTTCCGTAAAAGAGCTCAGAAGTTAGTAGAAGGTTAGTACGAGCCACGTAATTACTTTAAACCTATCTTATTACGAACGCCGTAGTTTTACGTGCCGTGTAGTATTTGCAGGTGAGGTTTAATTACGGACAATCTCGTTTACTTATATTTGAATAACTTAGGCTTAAGTTTAACTAGCTAGAATTAGTTTTCTTTTGTCTTAAGTTAAAACCCAAGTGGGGGTTTTCCTGTAAGCCCGAGAAGGTGCCATCTGTCAATGTATCTTTGAATGAATAAAAGGGCATTTTAACGCATCTTTGTTCTTATATTTTATACTTTCGAGGAAACTAGTGAATTGTCGCTAGACACTCCTATAAAAGTTCTTGTGGCCAAGAACACGTAAATTAACTAGAACTCTATCGTACAAAAGAAGGAGATTAAAAACGAAATCAGTAACTCGGGATGCAGTGGGCTATATCTATTATTATGAAGGAAAAAAAATCTGATGTGTACAGCACATGACTTTCTTGTACGGAATATTAAATCAAGCGCATTTTTTCTTGCATTTCATTTAAACTTATTGGATTGAAT